GAAATGTGAACTGGATCACCCATGCTGTAAAGAAAGGATTTGAAAATCATTTGGAGAGTGGTCTACTATTGACATTGAGGGAGCGAGAGCCTCCTTTTCCAGGACCCTTTGGTAATGAGTCTCTGGGGAGATGAATCCTTATGAGACCTGACAGGGTGCCACATTCCTAGGCTGAGAGGCCTATCAGCCCCCCCTCCCCCGAGCTTAGCTCTCTAGGGCACTGCTTTACAGACTTCTGATGTTCTAATACAAAACCTTATGCCAATTACTGTTGACTCACCTGCCTTTTCACAGCAGCTCCATGCCTTTGAATGGAGCCTTGATTTCTTTTGGGTAAACATTGGCTGTTAGAGTAATTGCAGGAGTCCTTGCTGGCATCTCAATAACGATGTTTTTTCAGTGTAAAAATACAGAAAAGATGTTTTTGATAGGCATAAGATTAACAGTGCATTACTGCTGTTGTGGTGATGAATTGATCAAACTGTGTTCTGTGAAGGTCCAAGCCATGCTATCAAGGCTCTTATTAAAAAATTATTACACACTGATTTTATTCAACTCTCTTTTAGAGCTGGACTGTCAAACTACTAAGTCAGGCTACACAGAGATTTGATTAAATATTTATGTCATTCGAATTAAACTGTTGTTTGAAGTCAGCCTCCTGCTCTCTGGAAGCTGTCTGCATGCTCTGTGCTAGTATTTCCACAACCGATCCTAAAAAGGAGAGGGAGGGTGAGGGATAAGAGGATGAAATATTGGCTTGCATCCCTGAAGGCTGAGACCCAGTCTACTCAGTGCAGAAGACGAAAGCAAAAGAAGAGAGAGAAACAAAGCGCGCTAGAGTGAGAGAGTGGGGTGACTGAGTCCATTCGCAGTGTTGGCTGCAAGCCATCGCCTTGTCTGTGGGTGTCTGTAGTACTGCCAGTGCATGTGTTTAGCCTCTCGTCTGGAAGGCCCCATTCGCCTCAGAGTTTATGACAGAGCTCTCTCATTGTATTGGCTCTCTTGATCAGGTTTTTGTCATCTGTAGATCTTGTGACTGTCTTCAGACTTGGGGGATGCCTTGTCTCACCCTTTCCTTGCCTTGCTGGCCTGTTTTTCTGCCCCTTGTTGAGCATATTGGCATACTATGTCAGTATTGTGACTTTTTCCTCATTTAGTATTTCACTAGCACTTCCCTTTTTGTGGTATGTTTATTTATCCCTGTCTCACCAAACCATATGTGTATCAGTTTTTTGAAAACAATTTGAGACCTGAGTTTAGACTACTTGACACAAAGGCTAAGTCTCTAGTTGGTCTGAGACTTGGAGCAGTGTTTTCCTGTCTTGTGGCCTCTCTCAGCCTATTTTAACAGAGCTCCCCTGTTCCTTAAAACCAGAGCCATGTTCAGCCTTTCATAACAGAGCTCTTTGCATAATTGAAATCAAGTGACACTTTGTGTTTGTGACGGTCGAGCAGCAAGGAAAGGTAGATAGCGCCCCTCTTTGTGCTGCAAAAAAAGGAGTTGAAACTACAGTCAAACAATGGAGACCTGCACACATGCACTCTGTCATAAGTTATACTATACCTACAATGTATGTACCTTATGGTATTGTCTGTTATCTCAGGTTCATAGTGCAATAAAAAGTGCTTGTTTGTTACTGGTAGGTGTCTTTACTCAAAACCTTGTATGGCTTGGGAAACTTCTAAGGGACCCACTGTGAAGATTTATGGCCACCATTAGGGGTAGTTTACCTGGCATCTTACTAGTGAGCTAATATTTGACTGTTTAGACCACCACTGGCTGTGAGTGTAACTAGTGTTTTTTGCTTTTTTTTTTTTACTTTTCAATGAACAGTGTTATATTATTGAAAACCGATTTTTTAGTTTTCCCACCAGTAGCACTGTTCACTATGACTCCCAAAGCATTTTGACAGTGGTCTGTCTTCATTAAGCAAGATACACGCCATTATTCATGGTCAAGGTTTATGTGCTTGTTACAACACTGACATTTATGTAAACACAACCACAGTTTGTAGAGTTAATATATTTTACTAAACAAAGTAAAAAAAAAAAAGTTCTACCTAATGCCGTTGACCTCAAGTGTTGTAGAGCTACAAGTAAATATCTGCACCTCTGTTAACAAGCTAACAAATTATGATAATCTTGACTGAGACACATCTTGCATGTTATTGCTAAAATATAAAACAGATAAATTAAGTTAACCTAATTTGGATTGTAACAAAATCTAAGAAAAAAAGCTTTCAATGGATATGCTATTAATGATTTATTTATTAAAAAATCTCTGCTGTTAAAGATACAGCTTGAATATCTATCTCAGCACTTCATGATTATTATTCACTTATTTTCTTCTAGATACTCTTTTATTTTGAAAAACAGATTGAAGTAAACGATACTGTCGCTTCACATTGTCATTTAGAAATAAAATGCATGCACACTTTTTGTCAGGCTGGGCTCACTGATGGTGGATTTCACATTCAGTTAATTTCTTGGTAAAAGAGCTAGGGTTGGATATTTATACCAGTCTCTCAAATCATTTACTTCAGATGTTCCATAAAGTGTGCCTCAGAATATATGGAACTAACAAACATGGAAAAAACAAAAAAACATTTTGCATTCAACAAGTATGCAGCACTGTTTCCTTGAGTTTAAAATTTTGTAAAGTTCACATTACAGGTTAAACTATAAGCACATTTCCTGATTATATTGTGGAGCAAGGATATATTTTCCTTGACAAATGCAAAACAGCTAAAACGTAACACATCTATTTGTTAACATGCAAAGCATGTGAGCAGGAATAATAAAAACCCTGTACCACTAACAAGGGTGTCATCATTCTGCATAATTTTAAACAGAAATGCTATCTCGTACAGCTACATACAGCAGCAGTTTCTTCCAGTCCAGACATCTTCTTTAATGCTCAGTGTGAGCACAAACACAACAGAAACAGGAAGTCTGATCACTGATTCATCTGCACTGTTAGTGTTGACATCAGCCTGATGTCTGCAGACTGATGCAAGCTAGCGTTACCTCCTCAACAGGAACAGACTGAATAAATTAGAACCCACACAGTGTTTGCTCGACTTCCACGGCCTGACATCTTGTGACTACAGTAAACTCGAAGCTCAGATCAGTATGCAGTGTATTTCTTTTTCATTCTGTCTCTCTTGTCACCAGGATCTCGAGGTTTGCCATGAGATGGCCAGAGTCAGCTGACCATCCTGAGTCATGACAGACAGAAGTACACTGTGTTTGCACAGACTGTAACTATTCACATCAGTTTACAAAACAGTTCAGTCTAAACTGAACCACTTGCAATAAGTGACCACTGTGTAAACATTACATTTAGCTCACTTGTACACCTGAAATTGTGCAAATGTAAAAATCGATCTTGGGATTTCAAGAATTGATACCGAATTGTTTCAACAAGAATCACAGTTGATTAAAACAACTTTTTATCCAGCCCTTTCTAGAGCACTGTCTTGTGAAGGTTTTGATCAGTCCCATTTTGAGAGAGCCCATATTTCTGCCACTCTGCCTAACATGAGCTATGAGAGAGAAAGGCAGTATTAGTCAGAGGCTCATTGATATGGCAGGAGTCCTGTTATTTTTTTTTTTATTGTTTGTATGAGTACTTGTCTGCCTACTACTACTACTATTATTGGCTTTTCGGAGTTACAGAGAGTGGGACATTATCTGGCTGGACATGGTTGGTTGTTAACTTGAAATTTCCAGTACAAAAGTCAGAAATCTGGCTGTGTTGGTTTAAAACCACAGATCTGAACCAAATTATGTTAAAAATGGTCTAAAATATATTAAAAACTGATTGTTGGCACCCACTGAATGCACCCATTTAGTGTATGTGTGATGCACGATATCTCCTGCTTGCACACACATGCTGGCTTCTAGCAAACCAGCTCCTGGAAAAGTCAGCTTGAGGCAAGAGACAATGCTAAAGGCTACTTTGAGAGCACATCCCCTGATGACTCCACCTGGTTGAAATCAATAATTGAAGCTAAAGTCATTTATTTTGCAAGAACACATTTGTTTTTTTGTTGAAAGGGTGGAATTTAGTCAATGATCCTAAGTATACAATAACAATTCTGCAGTGTTTCACTAAAAAAGCATCCCAGCACTGTATAACAATATGAAGTAGCAGGGGGACATAGTACAAAGGTTTACTGTACACCAGTGCCAGTTTTTTACTAATGTTGAAAAGAGTAGACCTCATGTTTTATGAGTTTTGCCACTTGAATTATAAAGCTTCTTTGTGGAAATATTAACTTTTAATTGTCTAACCTAAACATACATTTTAATTTTTGTGGCTTGCTGAATAGAAGCTAAATTAAAACTGAACATCAGCTGAATCAAATTCACTCTTAAATCCTCTACATCATAATGTTATAAAATTAGATGCATGTTTTTGTATTGAATTGAAGACCTACAGATCAGATTGTGTGAGAGGCAGAGATACTCACCCCCTAGTGCAGAATAAATATCTCTTCCTTGGGTGTTCCTACAGAATGTGCTACAGTTTAGTATGTGACTGTTTTTACTTCCATCATCATTCATTGGCAATATACTGTATGACTAGCACCTTGTGTATGAATCCGCTCTGCAGCATCTGGTGCCTGACTCGAGACCTACCTCTGTTGTATTTATATTGCCTCCACAGCTCCATTAAACTCAGGGCATTTCTGGATTACTATCTAGCTGCTTGATTTGGCTGGTCCCTGTCTTTGTGTCCTCAGTGTGAGGACAGTGGGCCATTTAGCAAGCAGTGAAGGAGGGGTTCCATCTAGCAGGTGCATGGAGTTTAACTCCTTTACTGGGAGCAATGTCGGGGGATCAGCTGTGGTTGCAACAGTTCAGAGCAACAGTTAATCACATTGCACAATGTTTTTTGTTTGCATTGTTCTTTGCAGGTATGCAGGTATCCAAGTCAATTCCACTGAGGCTGCTCCACTACAAAAATGTCTCATAGCTCATGTTTTTCTCCACAGGTTTCTGGCTAAAAGAAACAGCCAGTAATGCACATCTGCTCTGCAACCACACCCACTTCCTGCCTCTAGAGGAAGCGGCTGTGCCAGCATGTCCTCCCATCCCCAGTCTGTGCCGCCGGGCCGGAGGACTGGGCTGGACACACGGCATCTGCCAAACCCTGCCACTCTACCACTACAGTTACAGCGGGCACACACGGTAAGGGGCCTGGCACACAGCCTGTTTAAAAGCACCACCTGTAGTGCCTCAGCATTTTTAGGTAAAAACCACTGAGAGAGTTTATTGTAGTTGAACCACTGGAGAGCATCTGACCCCAAGGGCCCCTGCTGATATTTTTCCAACTTAACATTCCCAGGTCACAATGTTGTGCACACAGAACTGTTTTTTCATTAGATGTTTGAGATGAAAGTTCATGTTGACATTGTAGGGTCAGAATTACGGCCTTTCTCATTATTTACACCCACATCTCCTAATTATTAAGATTATGCTCTTCAGTGCCTTAAAGACCAGGCCTCTAGCTGATTCATTCAGTGACCTTTGGTGTTTGCCAGGCTTTTTTTGTTCTTGTACGATGAGAAAATCCAAGGCCTACCCTCCAGGGTCCCCACAGCCGCACATGTAATCCTAACACTTGCTCTTGTCATCACATTCAAGAGGAGATGAGGGTTGTCAGGCTATGTCTCATAATCTCTGATTGACTGAGCGCGCATATTCACAGTACCTGTATGAGTTACCTCACTGCTCTGAGAAACAAATGGAAGGAGAGCAAGAATGAAAGCTGGAGAGAAAAAGACTGACTATTACAGGAGAAACAAGGCAGAAAAAGTTAAAATTATTTTCAAGGAGGAGGCCTTAATGCTGACAGTGTTTTGTTATATGTGTTCCAGGAAGTGGGACTAGTTGACTACCACTCTCATCATGCCAGAGACTACAGTTCCCACCTAGCCCAGCCACATCGCCGTCGGCCTTCCTTGCTCTCAGAGTTTCAACCTGGGAATGAGAGGTAAGTGCACCATGCTCATAGCATATAAGACCTGTTCCCTCATGAGCAGTGTATTTGCCATTGTTCTTGATGGCACCATGTTCTTTTGCATTTTGTTATTTTGTCATTTATACATTTACCGTACTGGGTTTATGAATTGTGGAGCAGGAAGACATCTAAAGTTGCTCAAACATAAATGCATGAAAATATGGCATGCTAATGTAATTGTAGTGGTTTTAACAGACAGTTTGCACCATTATATTATTATCATTAATCTTATTTAACATTCTCCTTTGCTGTAATTATGATAATTTAGTTTCATATGCTTTTTTTTCCAGGCAGTAGGTGCATATTGTGTCACTTGTTAGCTAATGTAAGAATGACATACTACGGTATTCACTTGAAAATGGTATGGCCTCTTTACTGTATTTGTCTTTTGATTCTTGAAGACTGTGGGATAAGCATGCTTACAGGCTGCATTTTTAAGTAGTGTTATTTAACCAAAGACTGTGCCTGTTAACTGTCCTCCAGTGTTATCCTTGTGTAATTGGCATCTGGAAGCTGCTCTTTGTGTTAAATGGCTCAGTCGGACAATGGAGCTTGCAGAGCTATGCAATCTTCCATAGGCCAACAGTAAGTCAGCCAAAGCATTGTAAGAATAGTACTTTACCTCTGGAGACTCACGTCTTGTACCTTCCAAAGTAGTTTATTATTTATATAATCATGCTTTTTTTGAGGATCAGTCTCAGTGGGCTCTTATGAGTAATTTATGTGCTTTCCATAAATTTTACATAATGCACAGTGTTGCAAGAATATTTATTTTCTCCCGGTTGATTTTCATGGCAGATTTTCTTGCATAATTATACAAGAAGTATAAAATTTTATTTTCAAGAGGCTGGTTTTACTAGAAATCAGCTGGCAGATATGTGTTACCTGAACAATATGTTGAGTGTGGAATATGTCAAATAATGTGTGTGCCTGGAATGCAGTAGATGTATGACGACAGACAGCAGATGGTAGAATGACTCTGTAGCAGTGTGTGTCTGCTGAGTGCTGTGACTGCATCTTTAATTGAGTATCAGTCAGATGGGATTATGGTCACCAATGTAAAGCACAGAGCTGTGTGTTGGCCTTGTTTACCAGTTAGCTTTGGTTAGCCCACAATGTGGAATCACTGCTACCCACCAGCTCGATTTCCTCACACTTTTAATTCAATCAATTTTGCTTTGGCAGTCACCCTCAGAAAACATGATGGTGTTTCCACAAGACATGTCTGTGCAACATCTGCAGAAGAGCAGTGACGTTGGTTTTCAGTAGATTAAAAAAAAAGCATTGTAGGGGACACTAGCAGCTAGCCCCCATTTTCTTTGTGGATGTTGTGAAATAAATCCCTGTTCTTGATGGCAGGTGTCTGTGGGTGGGGAGTTTTTCAGCTGAATATACTGTATCAGGCCATCACCACTGGTTTAGACACGTAGAGCTGTGATTGTTGTCATTCATCTGTGAACTTTGATTAACATAGTAAATGGTTTAAATGGGCCTTTTGATTAGATTTATAGTATGTGTGTGCAAAAAAGTTTTCCAAATGCTTTCTCCCTGTACTTAATTAATTGTTAGAGTGACTGGTGATTTACACTTGTTAAATGAATAAACTAATTTCTTTGTGTTTACATATCTACCCACATGTTTATAATATTCATTTTCTTAACATATTTACTGACATTGTTAGAGTATTTTGGTCTTTTTGTACAATCTTTCCACATATGCCGTTTTCTGTTTTTAATTATTACAAAAGGAAACCCTGTGGATATTAAAAAGGAGTTTGGTGCATCAGTGGAGAATTACTCAAAAGAGAGTGACGATCCAAAAGCTGATTACTTTACCTCCCTTTACCTGTAATCCACAGTGCTTTGTGGATTCTTAAGTTCTTCCATTCTTCATAACTTATCAAACAAATAGATTTTTAGAAAATAATGCAGTTATTCCAGTGGACCCGCCTCCTGATGTTTTGAACAATTTGGATGTGATTGAAAGCTATTTCAGGGCTTGAGCCCAGTTTTTAGATTCCACCCCTTGTCCCTCCTCTTTTGTGCATTTTGTCAGGTTCATTTATCCCTGCTGTGGTGCAGTTAGACTGGCTTTACTCTGTATAGGCCATCCCTGTGCCATGCACAGCTGCAGGGCTGCTCCTCTGGGGAGCCGCAGAGAGATTGGCAGCTGCACAAATGCCATAGTGCTTTCACAGTAACAGGCTGCTATCAGCACACATGATCTCTGTTCTTGTCGTAATGGGACCCAAGCCAGTGGGAATGTGATGGAGCTGTTTTGTTTGGTTGCCCCCTTTCCTCTCTTCTCCACCCACACCACCACCCAACTCGACACACATCTTTCCCTCATCCTCCAGAGAAATCCTCCCCAGGGATCGGATTATTCTGCATGCTCACAACA